GCAGCATGAGCAGTTAAGAGTCAGCAGTCGCGCGGCAGTCGGCACGTGTGGCTGCAGGATGGCTGGCTGGAATCGCAATTAAGCGACCATCCGCTACACGCAGAATCGTCAATTCAAATTCTTGATTCAACTCTGAATCCAGCCAATCAGCCGCTTGGACTGCTAATCATTCATTTTGCATTCAAAGATTCTTACACCCGCCCTGCCGCCATCGATAGCCGTGATCTTTCCATCATCTCGCACTAGCAGCTTCGGTGTAAGCTCCAGCAGCTTCACGCTCAACCTAATCGCGCTACAATGTCTCGACGAGCTGTAGGGAGCGCCATAGGTCAAGCGTGCTCTTGCCGTCGAACTTTTGCTCTTCCCACTCGCCAAATCTTGAGAGCAAGTGCCAAGCAAGGCTCTGCGTACTGTTCGAACAGCACCTTCATCTTCTCTAGCACATCTCCTCGAAGCTACACCAGTTCCAATGCCGCGAACCGCACGCATGCAAAGGCGTCTCGTAGCGCGAAAGATGATCGGCTGCTTCGGAAACCATTTGGCACTTCTGCGATTATGAGGCACGGAGGTATAGAGAGGCCGGAACCTGGCACAGGCATCAAGGTCACCTTTAGGGATTCAAAAGGCACAGACATCCGTACGGTCGAAGTCAATGAAGGGGACGACCTCTTAGCGGTGGCTCACGAGTACGACATCGATCTCGAAGGTGAGTTGCAACCCCGTCGGAGGATTGTCGAGAGCATTGAATTACTGACGTTGTGGCCCACGCACTATCGACATACAGGAGCGTGCGAAGGATCAATAGCTTGCTCTACCTGTCACGTTATTCTGGAACCAGACATGTACGACAAGTTGGAAGAGCCTGGAGACGATGAGAACGACATGTTGGACTTGGCGTTTGGGTTGACAGATACGTGAGTGCGCATACGTTCACCGGCCGCGCATTGCAAACCTCGCACTCTCACACGCTGCGCACATCTATGCAGATCGAGACTTGGATGTCAAGTCAAGGTGACGAAGGAGCTGGATGGCATGGTTGCTCAATTACCTTCGGCGACACGAAATATGAGGGTGGATGTGAGTCCGTGCACAGATGCTTATCACACGTCATCCATGTAACCGAACGCTTCAATGACGCTGATTTCCTCGTCTGTTCTCCGATCCGCAGGGCTCAAAACCTACCCATCACTAGATGAGAGCATCCTTGCTGTTGGTCTTCTGCAATCATAATCACAGCACAGCATAACAGCTACTGCTCGGAATGCGCATCACCTCTTTTGCTTTGCAAATGTCTCGTATCAAGGACTGAAAAGGCTTAGGTGGTAGCACAGAGAGCTGTCTGAGCGCTTTCATGGAAAGCCACTAGGCAAGAGCTGCACTGCTCTCATCGCAAAGGGGCACACGCGGGGCGATTTCCAGTTGCGGTGGCGACGATGGACGTGAAGTTTGTTGGTCGTCAAAGCTCGTGCTTCTGAAATGTGACAATTGGCTATAGCAGCCGAGTCGAGGGAACCAAGAATGTCGTCGGTCATTCAGTTTCAAGGCAGTAAAGTAGTGTGACTTGCAGCCGCTTCACAGCTCGAATCCCATGAAAGGGCCTCTATTCAAGGCTGCGACTGACTGATCTTGTCATCAAGACGCGCCGCGTGGTGCTTTGTGGAAATTTCTCCTTCACTCAAAGGCACATCTCGCTTCGAGGCTCTGATGCAAGAGGCGAGCGAATGTATGGTGCCAAGGTTGCTCTGCTCGTATTTGTGACTGTTGTAACGAGGAAGTCGTATCACGTATGACGCTCAGACTCGTTCAATGCGGTAGCAGTGGCCATTGAAACGCAATGTTCTCGAACTCGTGCTCCTTGACTCGTGTCACTGTGACGTGACTCTAACTCCACATTCTGATTCTTGATGCATCACCAATCGTGAATCACCATGCACCACCATTCAGCCATCTGCACTACTGTACTCGGCCGCGCCTCGAGCCAAATCTGGAATCGTGAATTTGAATGGACGCGTGTGGCACACGACACGGCAAACAGCCCGTCCGTCGCCTGTGTGATGTACCCGCGCCGCCCGCCCGCCCATGTCCGTGCGCAGTGCATTCAAGCGATGCTCGTCTAGCGGGCTGATCGTCTCGCTTCCCTTCAGCACCACCACCATCACCATCAACAACACCAACAACAATCCCGTGCATCATCCGTGCCGATCGTACATCTCTGGGCTCAATCTATTCAACTGGGATCTGCGCGCACCTCTATCTCTTCTAGCCCATCATCGCTTTCTCAGCCACACTGTTCCGGTCGGCCAGCAAGATGGCGACCGACGCTAACTGGTACGTTTATGCTCCATACTTGGCCGGACGAGGCTCATTGAGCAGCGCATGACGCTCGCGTTCCGTGTGGGGCTTCATCAATGCTGAGCGCGGCGCTCTGCTGCTCCTCTTCCGAATCCCTGCGCACCCAACAGCATCTTTTGCAAGATTATTGCTGGGCAGATCCCGAGCATGAAGCTGTACGAGGATGATCAGACACTGGCTTTCCTGGGTATGTGCAAGGACGCTGCGACTCACTCTTACCTATCTGCTTTCTCGCCGCTAATCATCACCTCTCTTTCCATCCATCCACGTCTCAAGACATTGGTCCAATCTCTCGAGGTCACACGTTGGTCATTCCAAAGTACCACGGCGCCAAACTTCATGATCTTCCAGACGAGACGCTGGGAAAGATTTTACCTGTCGCGAAGAGATTGGCCATCGCTAGCGGAGCAGAGGACTACAATATTTTGCAAAACAATGGAAGAGCTGCTCATCAGCTCGTGGATCACGTTCATTGTGAGCAGCGAGGCGGCTGTACGCACTGTTCCCTGAAGCATGAGTCTGGTGTGAAGCGTTTCGACCAGTCGGCCAAGCTGGTGAAGCCCTCCGTGCGGCCAGGAGGGGCTCGTCTATATCGTTTGGGTCTTCGCCACTGATTGCGTGCTGATTCCTGCTGCAAATGTGGTTCCCGCCTCCTTGCAGTCCACGTCATTCCCAAACCTTCCAAAGAGCAGGGTCTAATCATCGAGTGGCCAGGCACGCAGCCCGAAAAGGAAGAGCTGCAAAAGGTGAGGAGCCGACTCGCAAAACGATGGCGGCAAACTGATATCCTGCTCCCTTCTTGTGCTGCTACAGATTCACGCCGAGCTCAAGGCAAAGTTCGATCAATTGCCCAAGCTCTAAGAGTCTTGACTCGAAATTTGCGGCATCTGGGCGACTGTTGAGGATGCATCCCAATGACAATGCATCTCGCCTTTTCTAATTAACGCAGACTTGCGTGGTGCTCTCAGCGAGCTCCCAACAGACGAAGCGTGTGTCACGACGCATTGGTCAGACGTGGGCGTGTTGGGGCGAGATTCATGGAGATTACAGGTACAAGTACAATAGGGGCAGGTGTATGAATGCGCAGGCAAGCCGCTCGCGAATGACAAGCATGCGTGCTACGCGTTGGGGTCCTTGCAGTTACGAAAAGGCAGGAAGACAGGCAGAGCCATTTGCAAGATGGAATTTTAATGCCAGGGCCACCTCGAACTTTTGGTGCCGTCATCAACGGCAGTGTCAGGAGTAGCCTGTGCATGCCGTCTCGAATCCCTCGTTCTCCCACGCTGCCACCAGTGAGCGTGCTCCTCTTCGTGCTGAGGAAGGGGTGCTTCATCACTTAGAGCCCGACTTGAGTCTTCGCGATAAATTGTCGCTCCAGTCGCACACTGGAGAGAGAGTGGGCTGCGCACATGCTCTCTCGGCCCAGGACTCGATGAGGAAGACGATCCGTGCGTTGAGCGGTTAGACGACATTGTCGAAGAGCGCGCACCACGCGTACTTCCTCCGCTCTCCTCATTCTGCTGAGAGTTTCTCAGCAGACTGGCCAAAGCATCCGGAGCTCGGCTGCGGCTCCGACTTGTGCTGCTTCGTCCAACTGAGCGCCTCTCTGAGCTGACGCCTGCCTCACTCTTCTGTGAATTTCTGGTGCGACTGACGCTTCGCGAGGGCCGTCGCTGCATCGCAGGGCCATACTCTGCTGGCACGTGAGATAGCAGTTCGGCAGAGGACGCACGAGCCTGCAGTCCAGGCCGACGAGGGGCTTGTGGCTGCTGGAATATGCTTTGGTCGCATCCTGCTCCCAAGGATGCATCGTCTTTCGCGGGAGGCCCTGACTGAGACGCCTTTCTTGGTTCCCAGCCTGCCCCAGAACGACTTCGACTGCGACTGCGGCTGCAACTCTGCGCGGCGGACTTTAGAGGAATGGGCCGTTCGCTACTCGAGGTTGTGAGGGAATGATCCGAGCGAACATTCTCAAGCACATCTGCCATTCGCCTGTGCTGTCTGCCCCTCTGATCGTGCTCGAGAGCCTGACCGTCGGGCCGTGAGACGTCAAGGAATTCCGTCTGGCTGGCCAGCACGGGTGGCCCTGTCGGACTTCGCTCTGCTCCCACCGCATCATGAGGACCTAAGCTCAGGCGAGCCGGTCGCGATCGGCTCAGGCTTGAGTCTCGATCTTTTGAACGTTCATGCGATGGAGGCCTTCTCTCGAACGAAAGTGTCTTAGCGGCGTTCTGGTCGTCTGACTGAGCTGGTGCAGCGTCATGGGGCGCCGTAGAGTTGATCACACTGTCTGCTTGGTTCCCAGGATCTTGATTGTCCGGCAGAGCACCCTTTCCACCTTGCTGCAAGAACGCGCATTGCTCGACATCTGACAAGGTCCATCTCAGTCCCGCATCTGGCTCCAATAGGCCCCTGAGAAGCTCTCTTGCCGCGCTCCTTTCAAGTCGCGTACCGTCCCACAATCTCGTTGCCTTGTCCACCTCTGCGGCCTCGTCGTCCGTGTCACTGGCATCTTCATCATCTCCAAAGGTGGAACGCTGAGCCGGAGAGACCTTCGATGACCAGTCAATAGCGCCGACCGGCAAGGCTGGTAAGCTTGCGCTCATGTCGAATGCCGCGCCTAAGCCCTGGCTTGGCAGTTGATGCCCGGCTGGCCCCGAAAATATGTCACTCGTCAAGCTTTGCACACTGGTGCTAGGTTGCACTGCGCTTGCCAATCTGCTACACTGAGCATCCGCGCTGCCTCCTCTGACACTCATACTGGATGTCCTACTCCTACGAGGGTTGCGGCGCGCAAGACGGCTTGGCATAGACCATGCTCCACGTGTGATTTTCAGCTGTAGCCGGGGCTCGAATGAGTCGGTGAAAGGAAGCCGGCCGGCCAAGAGCGCATAAAAGATGCATCCCAGAGCCCAGTGATCTGTAGCAAAAGGCGAAGCTTCGTGCAGCAGCTGGGACTGCTCCGTAGCGGTGCGCAGTGCTTCCGGCGCGGCATAAGCCAGAGAGCCGCCACGAGGAATGGATACAGCTGCATGCTCATTCGTCAGGATGGCGCTCTCGCTTGCTCCCTTCGCCCGAAGTGGATGAGCTGCCGAGAGCCTCGTTGGAGACTTGCGTGTATCGAGGCTGGCTACTCCATGCGCATCGCTCGCTCCCTGATGTTTCCGAACGACGCAAGATAGCCCAAAGTCTGCCAGACGCCAGATCAATCGCCTTCCGTCTTCTCCCCTGCCATTTGGCGCATGCTGGCCAAGCACATTTTCGAGTTTGAGATCGCCATGCCGAATGTGAAGAGACTGCAGCACTTGCATACCTGCGCACAACTGGGCCATCACGTCGCGCGCGATGGCAAGAGGGATGCCTCGTGATTTGGGTGCAGCTCGGCTCGAAGCGCGTCGAAGGAGGCCTCCTGACGCTCCCAATCCTTCGGGAGACTGACCGCTGTAGCGCGAACCCGTCAAGCTGCTCGGCCCATTGGGGCTGATTGCAACTCCGTTGCCATCTGACAAGATCCGTGCAGCTCCTCCAGCGCGCCCAGGCAAGAATCCGCTCCCTGTCCGGCTGCTTGTGCTAGACAAAGGAGAGCGGTTGATCGTGTACGTGCTTTGGGGCCTTGCGTGATGAGGACCATGCGGGCTTCGTAAGCTGGAGGAACTAACAACGCCATTTGAACCTGCCTCATCGATCGAGACTGACAAGCCGCCCTCGGCACGGACGAAAGTCAACAAGCTTCCGGCATCCGCGAGCGGCATTACTAGAAACAGCAGTCGTTTGTCTGAAGCGGATGAAGGCTCAACAACCTCTCGCTCAAGGAGCGGAAGCAAATGTGGATGGCTCGGCAAAGAGGACCACAAACCGGCCTCGGCTTCGGCCTCCTCCTCGTGAGCCTCCAATTGGACGATCTTCACCGCGACTCGAGCTGCTTGATGCGCAGATGCAATTTTGTGTTGAGGGCCGCCTCGATCCAAGGCTTCTCTGACCGTGCTGGAACCGCCGAAGCCAAGGGTGCGCCCGAGTTGAAAGCGGCCTCCACAGATGAGCGCGCCTTCGTCGTCCCGCGCGAGGCTCCGTGGTGGAAGAGAGGGCAAGGATGACGGTAAACGAGCATTGGTCTTTGGGTATCTGGACGCAATCCCAGCCTCAGCGGGCTGTGAATCGTCCTGGCTTCCGTACAGAGCAGCTGCAGCCGACGCTAGACCAAGAGGCATAGGCATCGGTGGGACAGCGTTAGGCAAAGAGGAAGCGTGCGGCGTGCTCTGCACCTCTAAAGCGGCGTTGCTGGTCGCTTGCTGTATACCTTGTGGGTTTGACGCTGGAAATGGAGATGGCGACAGCGATCTGGCTCGGTCCAGGGACCAGCTGGAATCGCTGCTTATGCTGGCATCCACCACGCTGTGCAAGCTGGCGAAAGCAGAGAGGAAGTCCGCTGCTGGGGATCGAGCCCCGGGGGGGCTATTTGGCTCAGGGTCGTCTTTCGGCTGTGGAATTTCCTGCGAAGGCGTTTGAAGCTCCTTGTTGGCGCCGTATGAGCTGGTCCTGAGGTGAAGCTGAGGTCGCTGGGCCGGCTCAGAGTGAAAAGGCACTTGTCCTGGACCGACAGCGAGGGAGGCATTGGTCTGCGCGCGTGAATTCTGCTCTGACCTTGACAAGTCTTGGACACTCTTCTGTGAGCCGCCTTCGTCAACGTCTTTGTCAGTGTCGCTGGCACGCTCCCACCAGTGTATCGCAGCATCTGGTTGCTCCGAGCTCCGCCTCCTTCTGCCACGTCTTCGAGGTCTCTCCGGTGTGAGCGCGTCTATCGCTCCCTCCCTCGAGCGAGGAAGGCGAGATGAGGACGTCAAATCGGTCGGTGAAGCATTGCTCCCGGTTTGAGATGCATTTCGCAAGTCGTCCAGACTGATGGCGTGGGCCATATCACAGCACTTGGCTGGATGCGAGGGCTGCAGCCTGACGTGGAGCGATACTCAGTACCTGCGCAGGGCTTTTCGCCCGTAGATTAGGCTGTTGCGTCAGCCCAAGATGTTGCAGCTATGAGGTTGCGATGCGCAGAGTTGACGGTGGTGATGATAGTGGTGAGCACCATGAGTGGTCCAAGGGCAGATCGAGATGAGGAGCGCAGCACATAGCTGGGCCACCCTCATCGCTTGT